GCTTTCGATAATGGGATCGGAGTTGGATTTTGTTGAACCCAATCTGAATACAACCCTAATTTCGTCCATTACTTGAGCTTGTAATTGGACCGGATGAGAAAAATCCAATTCTGATCCGAGAGCTTGCATCCAAATCCGATCCAAAATCTGATCAGATTTAAATACCTTGGATTTTGAATTGGAATCCTAACAGACTTGGACTGAATTCAAATTTAATCTGATTTCGTTTTAATTTTTTAAAATAAAAAAATTAATTACTTTTCATCTTTTATATATAATAAATTAATGTAAATGTACTTATTGGATTTACTATATACATAGATTTATATATAATATAATATATATATATATATAATTTAAATATTAAATATTATAATATAATCATATTTGAATTTTAGTCGAATCGAATAGAATCAAACCTGAATTCAATCTGATAGCATAAATATAAAATCCGAATCCAAGATAATCGGGATCATATGTCGGATTGAGCCTCGGATTTTTGGACATCATTGATAGACCTAGCGACTAGGTGATGTGGCTAGAAACGACCGATTCAGCATGCACTCTCTCTCTCTCTCTCTCTCAATCATCAGCACTATTGATGAACACAATGCATTATAGGTATAACTAATGAATGGAACCTCGGATTTTTGAGTATCATTGATAGGCCTAACAACCAGGGACCAGGTGATGTGACTAGAAATGACCKGTTCGGCATGTAATATCTCTCCGTCATCAGCACCATTGATGAACACAATATGTTATAGGTATAATCAACGAATGGAGCCTCGAAATTTTGAATATCATTGATAAGCCTAGCGAGTAGTGACCAGGTGATGTGGTTAGAAACGACCGGTTCAACATGCAATCTCTCTCGGTCATCAGCACCGTTGATACACAATACTCTATAGGTATAACCAACGAATGGAGTTGAAGAAAATTTGTAGTCAAATAGTAGGTATATCCCCAAACATATCTATTATTGAGTGGACCTTTGATTCTTTGGACAATATTGTTTTGGTCCGCTAACCTATTGGACAATCAATTTTCGGACCAGTTCAATCCGACATAAAACTTCGGTCCGTTCAAACTGATTCAATTAATTACGGTTGGGGTGGAGTTTAATCCGAACTCAGTCCATGACATTGATAGCCCTACTAGTAGAGAATGATGCTTAATGATTGTTTTATACATTTCAATGTTAAAGGAAATCGGCTTCAGTTTTCACAAGGCTGTACTCACACCGTTCTCACAGTTTTGCATTGGGAATATCTCCTCATAAAATAAAATATAAAAATATGGAGATATTCCTAATGCACGATCATAAAAGACTGTGCGCGCTGATCTCTTGTTAAGGACGACATGCGAACCCAACAACGCAACAAGCCCCTTATTGTGTTCACTAGTAGTAGTAGAAAGATAGAGGTCATCCTTAATTGGTTTGCAAATCTTTACCAAAAACAGTGGTTTGTGAAGAAGAGGAATCCCTACTTGTTTGTCCTTCACAACAAAGCCATTCACATAAAAACCCTGACTTGGCTTATGAAGCCTAAAACGCTGAGTTGGGTTTTGAAGCTGAGCGACAGAACCTTGAGTTGCCTCTATAAACTTGATGCCATCACCGGTTATAGAACCTAGGGGTGTCCATGAAAAAACTGAAAAATTTAACTGAATTGAGAAACCAAACTGAAAAATGTGGTTAATTGAACCAACCGGTTTGGTTTTTGGTTAATCTATAAAAAAACGACGGTTAATCGAATCGACTGGTATATATATTAATATATATCACATATTTTCTATATATTCATTATATATATATTATATTTATAATAATCTATTTATAAATATATTATATATTTTTATAATATATTATATATCATTTATTATTTATAATATTATATTATATATATATATTTATATAATATATATTATAAATATAAAAAAACAAAAAACCAAAGAACCAAATCGGTCAAAAACCAAAACCGGCAGATTGGTTAACCAGTGGTACTGGTTCGGTTTCAGTTTGGGGAATTGGTTCGGTTAACCGAACCATGGACACCCCTAAATTAGAACAATTCAAAAACAAAAAATAAAAAGACCTTAGGGGATGTTTGGAAACATGGTCGTTTTTCTGAAAAACGGTGCCACGTCGGATTCACATAGGCGTTTCAAAATTTGCCCATATATATGATTATTTGGTTCACGCGTTTTTTGAAAAAACGCTTAAACCACGGGCATGCCTTGTAAATCGGGACCTACCGATGCATGAAACGTCGGTGAACTGTTGCCCCCAATGGTTAATTGAGCTGGTGAATACGTGTATCCTACATGGCGCTTACTTGTAAGATGAATTGGCACCAGTGGGAATGTACCAGTGCTTCCGGCCCATCGGAACATTAACCCAATGAGTGGTAGGGTTCACTTGAACATTCTAACTCTTTCTTCTTGCCGCCGAAAGTTCTCTTCTCTCACAGACAGCCTCTATAACCTCTGCTCATTTCTCCGTCATTGTCATCGCCGGAAGAGGTTGGTCATCACCGGAGGAAGTTGGTCATCGCCGAAAGAGGTTTGTTTCTAGACTTTTTTTTCCTTTGTTTCTAAACTCATTTTCTCTGTGTGAAATGGTGTTAAATATATTGTAAACTATTCGTTTTCTCTCTATAGCTGAAGAGGCTGAACTGAAAATACTTTGTTGCTTTGTCTTTTGGTGAAAAGATTTAAAAGGAGGTTGTGGGATTGTGAATGGCTGAACCTAGGATAGATCATATATCATCGAACCCACAATGCTTCCCATAAACTGGGACATTTTATCTTATTTGGAAAACTTCATAAAATTTCCCATCGACCAAAATCTCCATGCAATTCGAAATTATGAACCTTGAGTGATAGAATGAGTTGTTGGAGTTCCATTTGGATGTTGACTTTCAATCAAAACATACTCTGAAGTCTGTCGAGTGTTGATATTTTATGGTTAAACACTACACCTACACGGTGAAGTCTCATGATCAGGTGCATCTTCCATTGGTTAAACACTACACCAATCCAGACTAATCCATCTTTAATGCAGTTAAGGTCCACCGATATCCAGCTAATCTGAACTAGAATGTATGAAAGAATATCTTATTTCGATCAGATACAGATAATGAAAATTTGAAAATGTCTCCATGAACCCTTCCTTATATCTGTTTATATTCAATACCCAATAAACCTACATCAGAAGCTGTGAACAAAGAGAAAACACCTAAAAGCTAGTCATATATCAAAAGCTAGCTTTTTCTTCCCTCTTCAACTACAAACAATTGCACTCAATGTCACATTTCTTTCTCTACAAATCAGACAGAACTATACAGCTTCTGGACGTCACAGTTCTAGGTGTACTTCATCTCAAAAAACTTGCAATTTCTCAAAGAAAGAGTTTGGTTGAATGGCAAGGCTAACCTGGCAATATCCCTTTATTCATGCTGATGTTGTTGATCTATTCCAATAATATTTTCAACCGTTGGATTTAAATTTTTAGGCCAGATATTATAAAATAATCATCACCATTTGATAAGCATCTTTATATAATTTGGTATGATATTAGCRTGCATCATCTTATGGGGTAATGCGTGCACATACATGAAAAACGGTGATGAAAATCACTTTACCAAACGGCACAGTGTTGTTCATTGCCTATGTGGCAGAAACACTCCCAAAACATGGACATTTTTTCTTGAAAATTGGTCCCAAAAAACACCCATACTTCCAAACACCATCTTAATCGGCAGAGAATGTAGAGAAGATAGCGCCCAATTAAAAATAAGGAGCTGCCGTTGCCGTTAGAGGTGAGCTCAGTTACTTTTATCTTCTTGCACACTCAGTAGATGTGGTGTTTATTTGTTGGTCAGTTGATGTATCATGGATGAAGGTTTTTTTTTTTTTTGTATTTAATAACTTCCTCCTGACCCCTTTTTTTCCCAAAGTGTTGGTTGCGAGATTTGATTCCACTAACAAATCAGCTAATACACCAATGAGCCAGCCCTGAGTTGGTGGTTGGTGTGGATAGAAAGGTTCATACTATGCAAATTCATTGTCATTGGTTCCACTTGACTGGATCTACTATCCACACCTACTCACTAGATACTACACATTCAGCTAATCTTCTCATGAGTTCATATCTAAGCCCCACAAGTGCCCCACTGCACATCTCAATCATATATTAAAAACGTCTCCTGTACTTGTACTTGCCATTGGGAGCATTCTCAATACATGGTTGGGATGTTTTGTAGAGCATTTGTAGGACGTCTTCTATGGAGTGCAGATGTGAATTCAAATTTCAGATTTCAGCTTCAATCAGGGCAAAGCCCATKGAGTGAATTCAAATCAGCCCCCACAATGTCTCACAACACACTTCTGTAATGTATTGGAAACATCTTCCGATGACAACATCATCATTTTTGGGATTATCATCGGGAAATGTTCCCAATACATGGTAGGGATGTGCTGTAAACGTTGTGGGGGGCTGATTTGGTCTCCATTCGAACAGCCTTTATTTCCTTGCATTGAGAATCGGTACTTTACTTCCTTGCATCGAGAATCCGTACTTGTATGCTTTATTTCATGGCGAGATATTCTCAATGCAAAGTTGTAAAAGACTCTTAAAAAGTGTGGGCACAGATATGCCTCATAGAAGCAGATCTCCAAATTTCATTGGTGTTGGAATTGGTCGTATGCAATACATATAACCAATCATGACTGAACACGTCAGTATTTTGCCACATGGGACGAGTCTAATGTGTACGGCTGCAGTGGATTCTGGAATGGCGTTGGGAGCGGTTTGTTGGTAGCAGATTCTTACCGACCGGCTCACTGGCGTGGTTGGTTCCACAGCCTGCTGAAAAAGCCAAAACGTTCAGCTAATCCGAATTCTAGTGGGACGGGCTATCCCCGTGAAGCTCTAAAAATTGGGATCTGCTAAACCAAACATATTTGGACGGTCGAGATGTATTTACAGGCATATAATCCAACGGTAGATGAGAAAGACTGGAGTCTAAGAGAATATATAAACAGCGGCGATGGGAAAGATTGGTGTAGTTAGGGTTTCAGAACGTGAAGGAAGGAAATTTGGAGAAACGGGAATGGGAGCTGATCTATTGAAATCCTTAGGAATGTGCGGGTTGGAAACGAAAACAGCAACCGCACTTGCTCCTACTCCTTATCAGGGTTAGAGGGTTTGTGGTGTTGCTTCCAATTCCGCCCATTCCTAAGTCTTTCAATTGTTCCTCCCTTTCCCTTCTTCTCCTCTTCGTTTCAGTTTCAGTTCGGTCACAAGCACAAAATCAATCTCAACAAGTTAAAGGTAGTGAGTTCCTGTTACTTTTTCTCTCTGTTGATCTGTAGTTTCGTTCGATCTGTATATGTATTTGTTTCCCCTTTGCAGTAATGATTTTGTCTTCTTTTTCGATTTTTGCAGCTTCTTTAGATTGTTTTCCATAGATAACAACGATGACGATCGATCGAAATATGTTAAGAGTGGAGAGGATGGATGTTTCTCGTAGATTTACCCTTTCAATTTTCTTTGTTCTTCGTTTCCTCCCCTAATTTTATTGTTTGATTTGACGTGGATAGTTAATCGTTTTACCTTGCTAATAATGAGGAATTATGGTGTTCGCTGGGATAAGTGATTCTACACTCCATCTGGTAAATCATGCCCACCACGCGTTTGTATAAATGTATTCTTGCAAGTAGTGAAACCCTAATTGCAGATTCCAGCAAATACTTGGGCCTGACCTAGCTTAGCCCGAGTTGCAGTGACGATAAAGGTAAAGAGGTTGAATTGGAAAGGGAAAATAACCAAATCAGAAAAGAAAAAGCTTATTCTGCACTGAGCGATAGAAAGACAAAGACACGATCTTCACTTAGCCATGGAATGTGCGACATTAACAAGGAAATGGTGAAATTAGAAAACACAGGAATTCAGAATTATTTGTGAACTTGTGATCTTTGCTGCTTCTTTCTCCTAAAGGTTTTCCTTGCAACTTGTAGATGGTATAGTTGTTTTGTGTACTTGTAGAAAGCCACATCTCGCCCTACTCTGTAACGAAAGAGTGATTTAGAATCAATGTCAGAGGCAAAGACTGAATACATGACACAAACGATTTATTCGTTACGAAAGTATAGCAATTGAATACCTTTGTTTCAGTAGATGAATATTAATGAATGAAGTTTCAGATCCATGTGAACGTCCTTCCAAACACTCCACTTGAGCCTGTGAGGAAATTTTAAAGAAAGAAAACCCAGACCCAGATGAGAATTYAGGCTAAAAAATCCTCACCAAAGCTCACAGAAACGAAAGCATCAGTTCCTACCTAGTTCCTAACTTCCTACCTCTATGCGGCCTTGACCACAATTGGACTCCTAACATAATGATTTCCATCCGACCATATGAGCCGCCCGAATACATAGTTGCTTGCTGCTGGAGCTTTCTTAGCCTTGAGCTTGAGGGTAAGCTTGAAGCTCTTCTCCTCCCCCAGCTTGTCGAATTTGAGGGTGAGGGGTTCGACGGAAACAGAAATACCAGGTGGTGGACGGAAGCGAGCTTTGTAAGTTCCTGGGGTGCCAACGTTCTTTACAGTTCGACTGATTGTGGTAGGGCCAGAGAGTCTAGGCACAGTGATAGAAGGGTAATTGAAGTCCAAGAGTCTAACGTGGTTGGGGCATTCGTAGGGCTCCTCCCAGAAAGATTTGATCTTGGTTTCGTTGTAACCAAGAGCACAGAGGAAATTCAAGTAATCTTTGACAGTAAGGTCGTAGACCAACCCAGGATCCATGGCCCGGTTTGGTCGGACGTGCCCTGCACCATAATCAAATGGGTTCGCCTTGACGTAGGACGAGTTGAGCATTGGCTCCCTCTTGTTATCTCTAGTCCTCGCTGTAGAAGAAAAGTTAGCAAATGAACTTATTTGATCAACTCATCAAAACTTGTAATTCATCAACTAGTGGCTCCGTAATAAGAGTCTAACCGCTAGTCATGATGGCCGATCTGATTGCCGACGGGCTCCAGTCGGGGTGCAGTGTTTTGAGAAGGCCAGAGATGCCGGCAACATGGGGACAGGACATCGATGTGCCGGATTCCGAGTTGAACTGAACTCGACGCTCATCGCTCTTCTCACCTGTTGGTCCAGTTGCTTGGGTGTATGCTGCTATGATACTCACCCCCGGTGCAGTGATATCGGGCTGAAAGGTAATATAATCAATGAAATATGTTATTAACTAAACATCAAATTATAATACGTCAATATGTCATTCAGAGAGAGAGAGAGAGAGAGAGGACCTTGAGAATTTCGGGTGTAATGGTATTAGGACCACGTGACGAGAAAGAAGCCATGAAGGGAGCAGGCTTGACAGCCATTTGGGTGACGGGACGCGTGATGTAAGCGATGGGTGATCTGTGAAAGATAAGAAAAAAGAGTGCGTAAGCAAAATTCGAGTCAACGATGGAGTTCGTGGACATGTCTGGACCGAAGATGGATGCGATTGCCGCCATGATATGTTTGCCATTTTTGTAATTTACTCACTTGGTAGAATTGATGTAAGCAAAGAGATCAAGACCGTCCTTGTATATGATATGAGCAGCAGGAAGGACGTGGGTATCGACTATTATCTCATTCCCATTGATCTCGTCGTTGGCCAGAATCATCCCCACTGCACCGGCTAGAGCCGCCTGAATGCCCTTCTGTACTCTCCCGTTGACGCCTCGGAGGCAGGCCAATATCTTACCCTTCACCTTCTCAGGATCCAGAGTCCCAGCCTTGCAGAGCAGACTGCAAGATATTTGATATATAATTCAACCAAGCATCCTTAGCCGATGGCAGAAATCAAATAGCTATCTAAAAATGGGTTGTCTCTGTACTCACGCATCCTTGGCCGATGCATTTGCAGCTTTGGCTTTTGCTCCGCTAATCAGTGGGTAGTACTTCGCTGCAGGCAGGGAACTGGCAGACAGACTTTGTCCCTGGTAGAGGAAGGAGATCAACCATTACATCTGTGACTGTGACTGTGAGTGGAGAGAAGAAGAGACAAACCTTAAGCTGAACTTTATTGCCAAGTTTAACGTAAACAGGAAACTCCCGATCGATGGTGCTGGCTCCAACGGTGAACAACCATGGGGAAACGTTGGAAACAGAACCAGCGTCGGGTCCTGAATTGCCAGCAGAGGTGACCACAACGATGCCGTTCTTGACGGCATGGAAGGCTCCAATTGAAATGCCGTCCTGGAAATAGTCGGAGGGGGCTCCGCCGAGGGAGACGGAAATGATATCGACGCCGTCGTGGATGGCAGCATCGAAGGCAGCTAAGATGTCGGCATCGTAGCATTCACTGCCGTTGATGGGAGGCCAGCAGACCCTGTAAGCAGCCACTCGGGCTCTAGGGGCCCCGCCCTTGGCGGTGCCATTGCCGAAACCGAGGACGTTGGCACCGGGTACAAAGTTACCGCCGGCTGTAGAAAGGGTGTGGGTCCCGTGGCCGTCGTCGTCTCGTGCGGTGGCCAAAGTCAAGGATGACTTGAGGAGGGTCCCCGCAGCAGAAGCGTAGCCTTTATTGAAGTACCTTGCTCCAATCAGCTTCCTGCTCAAGATTTTCAAATGTGAAATTCAATACAAAATACAGTAGTTGAAGCTCCTAACCCAGAATACATGCATCAGCAAAATAGAAAGTTACAAAAACAGATTCCAGAGTCAAACTCCCCTCTCTGTCTGTCACTCAAATCGCTAAGATACAGAAAAAATAAAATAGTATTAATTACAGCCGCTTTGGACTTCAGACATGGTTGAATTTAGAGATTCAGAAATGAGAAATACGCTCGGATACAAAGTCAAACTCCTCCCGCCGCCTTTCGCGGTGGCCAACTACCGTAGAACAAGCTGTAACTATCAGCAGCAATAAAAAATTTCCTCCTTTAGACAGTGGAAACTATTGGACTCTTGGGTGCCGTCCATACTGAATACTAAATCCAATTGCTTTCGTAGTTTTGTTTGACTTACTGAATGATTATTATGAGGGTACTAAGCCAAATGTGTATATATATAATAGCCTTTTGTTTTTGTTAACAAAACATAGCCATGTGCAAGATATTAATGCTGTTAATTGCATCACTCAGATGAAGAAATGAGGTTTGATTAAGAGCTAGTAAGCCAGTCATGGTTTAATCTAAAAAAAAAAAAGAAAATTAAACACTATAGAATGCTGGACCACTTCAGTCATGGTTTTAATTGATCCAAATGAAGCAAGACAATTTGGACGAATCATGTGAATCGATTAAGTGGACGAGACGTCCCAAAATCCAAAGCACCCACCACGCTCTATTCAATTATCGAATCATTCATGCATCAAACAACTGATAATGATATATAATTCATTCGGGTTGCTCTGTCCCCAAGTAGTTACAGACATGAACAAAAACAGTAGCAACCCATTCGATATGGAACAAAATTGTATTCAAGGACAAATTTCGAGCCAATGGGTTGTCTGCTATCCTGTATCCTCCTCTCCGTGGGCATGTGTGAAGGTGGTTCATTATTTCAAGCTCATTAACCTTTTTCTTTTCCACAAAAAATGAGCAGATATTGTTGAATATCAGTTGGATGTAAACGCGGATAAAGGTAGTCTGAAATACAAATGCGAAAATAAACCGACCAAAATAATATTGAAATCAACCAGTTTCAACAAGGATTACTCGTCAAAGCCTCCAAAGTTAGATGAAGCCCAACTGGTTTGGTGGGATTCGGCCAATCTGGTTTTTCTATAAAAAGTGGAAATCTTTTAGTGGGGACCCAACTACGATTACATAAAGTCGAACTACGTTATATCAGAATTGTATTAAACAAGAAAGAAAAAAAGCAGATTTCCTTGGATGAGATGAGATCAGACATACACAAAAGAGAAAAACAAGAAACGAACCACTGGTTTGCTGTTTTTTAGTAAGAAAAGTAGAGACCTGTTGCAACGAACTACGTCCTTGTTGGTGCCACTCTGCTGACAGAATCCTTTCCACTTGGGTGGAATGGGTCCATACCCATCATCGCTAAAGCTCTTTGATTCGGGCCACACGCCTAGCACCAATCCCACCATCACCCACATCAGCCAAGGTGGAGATGAAAATGTCAATCATGATAGCAATTGACAAACAAACAGTGATGCACGTTAAATGGATGCACCAGATAGCCTAGTTGTTGTTCTTTTTTTTTTTTTTTTGGTTCTGTTTTCAGGAAAATGGGAAAGGAGAATTGGGAGAGTAAAGTCAATGATTCATGGCTTTTTTCTTTAACCTTTCATTGACAAACTAGCTAGAATGTGGACCAATAAGATTAAGCACCAGAATCATTATGACTATGAAAGAGAACACTAGTAATGAGGTAATTCTGTTGGATTGACGTTTAGAAGAAATTAAAAAACAAAAAGAGAAATAAATACTTCATCCTGGTCAATGCATACTTTGATAACCTTTCACTTCTTCAATAGTCTGAGCATATTTGATCCACTTCATACAACTTTACTTAAATCGTTGAAAAGAAAATAAAAATCAGTGTAAAACAGTTTATCACGAAACCCAAATGCATTGACCTTTTTCTGTTTATGCTACAAATCTGTTCGTTTAATTTGTAGTCAAGTCAAACACCCAGAAGCATAATAAAGTGAAAAAAGAAGTAAGTCCCTAAAATCAAAACCATGGGCTAGACTCTAGAGACATTAGAGAAAGTAAATGGAGTTTACTGGCGATGGAAAATCAATCTTATGGTGCTAGTCTCGTTGGAGACCAAATAAAATGGCCACAGCATTACGACTGTCAGTGTCGACTGATTGAAAATTAACCAAAAATGTTTATTAAAGTATATGTTTGACTTTGTTCTTCTAAATTCTAATATGCGATTAATCGAAGTTTTGATAGTTGAAGGGGGAAGCTTGAGCTGTCTCTATTGAGAATATACTTGTCTCAAAAATAATCGAGAATGTACTTTGGTGTGATGTAATAATCGAGTTAATCCCATAACAAAAATCAAGATGCATCTGTGAAAAATTCATGACGATGTAGAGAAGAAGAAGGATTATTGAAGATGAAGCCTTACCAGTGTCAAGGTTCCCAATGATGGTATCTTCACCGAACCTCGCCTTACTCCAAATAGACTCCGACGAGATCGAGCTATCTCTCTCCTGCAGGCCAAGGAAATCCCATGATCGGGTTGTATGTAATTTCCTTCCTTCGTTCAAGAAAACAGAAATAACTCTTGGGTTCTCTGCAATGGGAGATTATAACACAGAGATGAGAATTGAGAAGATAATGAACTAGATTAAAAGAGACAGAGAGAAATGGGCATTATGGGCTAACAGCACTTCTTACTTGCTATCTCGGCTGCTTCTTCCTCTTCGAGGGTCGCAGCAAAACCATTAATATGTCTTTTATACGAATAGAAAATGGCGTCTTCGGCCTTCTTGTAACTGAATTACAGAAAAAAATGGAAGAATTTTCAGTCTAAATTGCCGATAGATAAGAAATGATTAAGACAATTCAACAAGGATAGCATACCTTCCCAAGAAGGAGCCCAGAAACTCGCAATGAGAATGTCTAACTTCATCCAGATCCAACGATGAAAGCTCCGGACCATGTGAATGTCCTCCCATGTATACCACATAAGACTGCACCATAAACAGCCATTAGTTACCAACAGCAGCAGAAGAAGAAGAGGAGGAGGAGGAGGAGGAGAAATGGTGGTTGCCTTTTTGATTGCAAAAGTGGGACTCTGCAAGAAAGAGAAAAGGAGGAGTGGGACAAGGAAGAGAGGAAGTCTCGACAACACCATTGCTTGGCTCAGTCCCTGATTGTCTTCTGCAGAAAGAAGAGCAAAAGAGACTTCCCTCTGGGCTTTTCCCCTGTTTCCGAGAGTGCTGGTTTCTGGCTTCCTGCCAGCCTTTTTAATAGCGGATAGTGGAGGAATAAGGGATTCTTTTCTAAAAATAATGGGGTTTTAGTTTTACAAGGAAACAATGAAAACCAAAACGTATTCTGTAATTTAGAAGGAGTTAATATGGATATTTAGTTCAATTTGGTTGAACATCTAAGGGAGAATAAAATGCAACAGCTTAGTGAAAAACTGAAAATGGGTAAATGAAAAGAAGTAAAAAGGAAAAGAATAACTACTGCTTGGGGGCAAACAGCTTTCTTTCCTCTTATAGGATTACTGGGTGAGACTGCATCTGTCTTCCTTGTAATAGTAGTAGTAGTAGTAGACGGATGCTTGGTTTTCTTTGGATTCCAATTTGACGATTCTGGCAGCTCACTTACACAATGCCTTTTGTGGGTTCATTATGATGGGAAAAGAAATGGGGTGTATATTAATTGAAAAATTAAGTGGGAGATCTCCTTAAATCTCGATTTATTGAAAATAAGAAGCTAAAATTAAGCAAGGAGGAAGGAAAGACAGACCATTAATTCCTGGAATACAACAGTAGATCGACAAACACTGGTAAAGCATGAGCTAACAAATTCAATTCTCTCCTAATAAATAATTATTAAGGAATAGATCAGAACAGTATTGACCAAGCTCCTCTATTCAGGGGGACCATGCTTGAAGGGTGACGCATAATCTTGATAATGGACAAGCAATCACCCAAAACAGAAATTTTGGCAGACTGATAACACCAGTCACCGCCTCAGCAGCCTTAGCATCCATATCGGTTGCAGTCGTTTGGGAAGAGTGCAAATGCATATATGCAGTTTGCTTCAATTTCGCAGGTGTTTTGATAAGAATGCATTTTCATCCAATTTTCACACTCGAAGTTGGTCAATATTGAAAACAGGCGGATTCTGATCTCGGGATTTGTGTTTGTATGCATTGCAAAACTAAACCAACTTTGTATTTTTATTAAAAGATTAGATTTATTTGCAATTTTACTGAACATTTTTTTTTTTTGTATTTGCACTTTTTCTAAAAAAAGGAGCTTAATCTCCGTGTTAAATAAATTGATACTCGCCCGGCCACTTGTTCAAGTGGTGATAACAGGGGAAGGAATTGCCTACGATTTGATATCAACTCAAGGGCCATCATGGACCAGACCGGTCCATCTCACAAGGGCTACGTTAGCCTGCCCCAACTTGATTCCCCCTTTTTTTGGTATTACATAGTACACATGAAGGGACTCAGAGGTAGGGGTATCAATTGGTTTTGGTCCAATCCGATCTAGTTCAATGTAAGTCTATTATAAATGGATCAAGTTCAATCCAATTCAATGTCTGAACCATCCAATCTGTTTAAATTCATTTTGATTTAGATTGGTTTCAACCCATATCCGGTCCATTGATGCTTATATTCTTATCTTATATCAATAGGCCAGATACTGGCTTAACGGATGGCCTATTCTAATAAAAAAATAAAAAACAACCAAAAACCGCTGGATGGTTTAAACGGTTTGATCACCCAGGTCAACGGTTTGCTGACCAAATCAATGGTTTTTGACCAAAATGACGGTTCTGGGGTAAAACGGAACCGTTCAGATGACTGATTCCCGGTTTTCTGGTCCGACAGTCCAGTCCGGTCCAATTTTGAAAACCATGGCATTAAGAATCAATTTTAGGTTCAAAAGTAGGTTAATGTCTTCCTCATGGGTGAGTGTATATCTTTGGCAGGGCTATAAAGATAGAAGTAGAAAGGTGTGAATCAGTGAATCAGAAAGTGGTGGAAGCTGGGGAAAACTTGAATTGGTGATGGGGAATTACTCGGAAGTGATTACAGGACTTTTCTTAAGTAAGATGGTGTTCTACAACATGAATGTTTTTGTTTTTATTTGTTTTAGGAATCGCCACATTAGCCAAAAAAACTAAAACATGTTTTTGAACTCTGTTTTTTGTTTTCAACAAGAAAAACAAGTCAGTTTTGTTTTAAAAAATAATATATATTTTTGGAACCAGCAAAATATTGATTTTTTTTTAAATAAAAATAAGTTTTCTAGTATAGAAATTATATGATTTATGAAGTATGATGTTAAATAATCAATGAAAACATGTTTTTAAAACTAGATTCAAGAATATATTTTTTTGTTTCAGTTTTGAAAACAAAAAACATGCACAATCAAGAACATGTTTTTTTATATTTTTATTTTAAGAAACAATCTATTTTCAAACCAAATGATTTTGATTTATTTTAAAACCGCAACAAAAAAAAAATTTCATGTTGTAGAATACCCCTAAATATTCCACTTATTCCATTCTATGGCTATATTTGGTGTACAATTTCAGTGTCTAGACCCATCCGGCTACTGCTGATTTTATGTTATCTACACTCAACATGGACATACAGTCTCGCTCACGCTCAAAGTGAATGTGTGCTCAGGGTATTTGACAATATGTAGCAGGGAAGTAAACAACTTTGGTTTGAGATAATTCGGATTTGCTCCTCAAAGAGTACACCTCACACCAATCTCATAGTACATCATAGCTGTATATTAGGAGAGTCCAGCTTCAGCAGCCTTTACAGTCTTGCGTTGGGAATATCTCTGTAGTTATCTAATTTATTTCATGGAAGACATTTTCAATGCAAGGTTGCAAGGGGCTGTTCGAACGGTGTGAGCATTGACTTGCCCTGATAGAAATCGAACTCATATTGGAAATATCTTCCCATAAATGATGACATCAAGTAAGGAGATGTTCTCAATGCACGCCTACAATGCACTCTGAGGTTGGGGCGAGGTGCACTTTGTAAGGAGCAAATCCGATCTTGATTTGAGAGGAATTTTGTCTTTCATACAAACTGAGAAACCATTTTTAAATCTATTATGGAGATATATCAATGAATATGTGCATATTATATGAATAAAAATACCTTTATATACACTTCTTGAAGCCATAGAAAAAATTGGTAATATTTGTTAATTTTATAAAATAATAATATATTGGGGACATATTTTTATTGTACTTTAGTGAAAATACTTAATCTGGTCTTAATTGTCTATTTTATTAATAAACCTTGTAATATAACCTGAATGATGAATGATGATACAATTATGGACACCATAAAACTATGGGGGGTTATTATTGGAAAGGGTGTAATTTAAGACAAATAGACATTTACCCAAATGCCCTTAACAATACAGATTAGTTTTGCTCCCAAAAAATATAATGTGAATATTTATTAAAGTACCAACTTTTATAATTTTACCATCTATAGATATCCAAATGCCCTTAACAATACAAATTAGTTTTGCTCCCAAAAAATATAATTTGAATATTTATTATAGTACCCATATTTATAATTTTACCAACTCAAACTTTTATATTGTTTTATTTTTTCCTGCATTCATATTCAATATTTTTTTACATGATTTTCAAAACCGGACTGGACCGGACGATTGGACCGGAAAAACTGGGAACCGGTCACCTAATTGATTCCATTTTCCCCCAAAATCGCTTTTTTCCTCAAAACTGTTGATTTTGGTCAGCAAACCGTTGAATCGGCCGATTAACTATTTGAACCGTTTTGACTGCTTTTCAATTTTTTTTTTTAATTTTTTAATTTTTTTGTTAGAACGGGCCGATCATTCTGGTTGAACGATCGAACGTTTGAACCGGTAACTAGATTCCTGACCGGTTCGGTCACATGCTCGGTTTAAAAAAAAACGTTTTTTTTTTTATTCTCACTAATTCAAAGTGGAAAAGTTTTATCCCTTCAAAAAATATAAATGAGGATAATAGACAAGAAGGTACCATAAAAGGTTAAAACTGACTTTTAAAAGCTTTAAATGTCATGGGAACACTTTGAACACTAAAGCTGATCACATGTTAGTGGAGTGGTGGACCCCATACTACAAAAAGGGAGTTGAGTCAAATAGGTAAATCTGAGGAAATTGGTTGCAAGAAATCTTTCAGTTAAAAAGAACTGAATTGATGGACAAAGGGGGTTGAAAGAGAAAGGCATACATGTGGCAGGKATAATGGGGTAGATTTAAGAAGGGTTTTATAAATTTTAGACCTTATTTGTTTCTCTAAACCTCCTAACTCATACTCTCTTTAAAATCCGAAATGGGTTAAATTTGCAGAATCTAAATTCTTCCTGCAAATAAARATGCAAAGAGTCGTGGATCAATTCTAAAACTCGGATCTAATTTTAAGCAATAAACAAGTAAAATAATATGAACAAACATCAAATTGTTCAATTGTTTAATTAAAATATATAAAAAATACATAATCTATCTATTATCTTTCATATACGATTGCAAACAGTATTAAATTGAACACGTAATACATAAGCATCAGGAGTTGTGTATATCCCCTAATATATTGGTAATTTGCTTATAAGCCTTAGAGATATTTTGTAAATTTAATGTGTATATCCCAAAATCCATATCCGCCTCAAAATCCATTTTTTCAATAAAAAAAAAACTGCCCTATCGGAGTGGATACACTCCGATTAAATAGGGTTCAGGTGGAATCATATTACAACCAATGTTTTGAAAATCAAACTACATCAGCCAATTAACCTACATTCAAGTGGAAGTAAGCCTCTTTCCAGTTCAATAAAATGGGAAAAAAGAACCTCTATGATTTAGTAGGGTCTATTTTGGTTGGATTATGCACTTGGATTGGATTACGGGTTGCATCTTAAAGGAGAATGCATATATGCTTAGACCCATAGCTGGCCCTAATATTGACCGGATCTCTATAGTTGGATACAAATCGGGTTTTGTTTAAAATGTGGATCTTTATGAGGCTCCAAACTCATTGTATGCGGACATTTGCAGGTTGATTCCTATTATCAAGGGTATGTGATTCCTATCAAGGGGTGAGAAGAGAGGAACGTGAACTCCACTAACCTTAGAGAGAGAGAGACTGCAATTAGATGGGTTTGATCCCAAGCCTCTGTATTCAGAGGGACACGAACGAGCATCTCAGCTACTGGGTCATCGGTCAATTTTTCTCTAAAAGTGCTATCATCCACCCATCTCTAGAAGATTCTCTATAAATGTGTAAGTTGTGCTTTGTTTGGGTG